TGGAGCTTTAATAAGTTGTACTTACGTACAATCTACTTGCAATCTTGAGTTTTAAGTAATATGTATTAACAAACAGTATTTTACGAATAAAAAATGGTTTTTAAGAGTTTTAATGAAATACTTTATAATATAGTATAGATAGAAAATATAACATAGTTATGGTCCAAATGTTTTGACGTGGTTCTTTGCATGCCTGAAACCAGGGTTCCAATCAATGGATTGCGTTTGTCATAGTTCATTTCTTTTTACTTTAAATACAACAAATGTAACAAATAAACTCACACACTTTCATAAGTTTTGGTGACGTTTGAACTTCTAATCTTCTAGGAGGTCAAAGACTACGATATTGTTAGACCAAAAGCCTTTTATTAATTAAATACTTAAAAATCAATATTATTTATTTTTGATTTTCATTAATTAAATTGTTTTAAATTTTTAATATTTATGTTTATATTAGGGCAAAATGCATAAAATAGCAATCTACTTTCATAAATTTCTTTATTATAACATTGTACTTTCAGTTTTTCTTATTACAGCAATGTACTTTCAAATTATTTTTTATTAGGACATTGTACTTTGAAAAATTTACCCATTATAGCATTGGGTAACCTTTTGATTTAAATTTACCTATTATACTAGGTTTTCATGCCACCTCATTGTCCACGTAGGCTGTCCATATGTACTATAGTGATGTGACTTTCTTATTACATCATTGTACTTTCAAAATTATTTTATTATAGCATCTACTATTTCTTATTAAACACTGTATTTTTAATTTTAATATTTAGATATTTTACATGATTTTTTAATAAATGTATTAAATGAATTAAAAAAGTTCTAAATTATTCATTAATATACCAATATCAATAAAACTAGTAGAACACAACTTATCTCGCTAATATTTTAAAAAAAAATATGTGTTTTTTGAAAAAAGGAAAATAAGAATTGTTCTTTTTTTACCAAAAAATATTATCTTTACTTGACGAATATATTATATTTRTTTAAAAACTTTTTACTTGACGTATAAATATATTAAATTAATTAGATTTTTTTGAAGTATTTACTAATATAACAATATTAAAAAATTGTAGATAACAATTTATTTCGTTAATATTTTAAAGAGAACTTTAAAAGATATGTATTTATTTAAACAACATAAAATAGGAAAAGTTGTCTTTTTTACAAATAAAATATATCTCGAAAATAATGTTGCATATTTATTTAATAAATATTTTACTCTAAGAATATTTAATTTAAATGCAACTTAATAAGAAAAAGTAAAAAAAAAATTAAATGTTTTTTTAGATAATAGCAATGAAAAATGAAAATCACTAATAATAATTTGAAATATGTTTTTATTTTAATTTTAGTTAAGTCATCAAAATGATGTGTCATCCACATCACCTCATTAAAGCCACACAAGCAAAAAAGTCAAAGGGTTAACCGGTTTAAAAGGTAACAGGTTACTCATTGCTATTATGGGTAGATTTTTTAAAGTACAATGCCTTAATAAAAAATAATTTGAAAGTACATTGCTGTAATAAAGAAAAATAAAAGTAGAATGCTATAATAAGAAATTTTGTGAAAGTAGGTTGCTATTTCATGCATTTAACCCTTTATATTATTAATAACAACTTTTTTATTGCTTTTCATTTTTTAATTTTTTATAAAAAAAGGTTATTACATCAAAAACTAAAATAAACTGTATTCAATATTGATATCAGTGTGCAAATTTCAAAAATACGTAAATCAAGGTTTTAAAAAATTATTATGAATCACAAGGATCGTGTATGATTAGTTTGAGCTTGGCTTCAAAGATTAAAAGTATCAGGAGGTCCCAGGTTCAAATCCAAGAATGAATAAAAATACTCTTGTGGCCACGGAGATTCAAATGCGGTGACTACGAGCTATCTGCAAAGCAGGTGGTCATCTTGGGATTAGTCGGCTCGCATAGCGGGTTGGATATCCAGGTTAATCACAAAAAAAATATTATGGATTATTATGAATTCTGCTTTTCACCCGATATAATACAGATATTTATATCGACGACATTTATTTATGATATATATTATAAATTAGTGTAAGTAATGACTCGTTCAATGATACAAACAATAGTGTCATAATATTCGTGGTTTCTTTAGGGTTTTTATCTACACACTTCACAAATCAAATTTCCTATCAAAATCTTACTGAGGTTTAAGAAAACCAAGATTAATCATATATCTCATATAGGGACGGACCCATAAATTTTTTCAAACGGTGACACCATTTGACTAAGAAAATGACACTAACAAGATTTGGACTCGGGTATGAGGTGGAATAAAAGTCTTTGCAAACCAACTCTACTAAAGGAAACTTGTTCACATTGTAGTCTCAAAATATATACGATGACACACGGGGAATTAATACGGTTGCACTTTTCACGAACCTAAATCTTTTTACCCTTCGATGGAGAATAATACAGTGGCACGTGCCACCGTGGGCACCACTGTAGGTCCGTCTATGATCTCATATCAATATAAATTCGATCAACAAAGCTAATTTTGTAATCTTTTTTTGATTAACTTGAATATTCAATCCGTTATGCGAGCCGACTAATTCCAGAACGACCACCTGTTTTGCAGGTAGCTCGGAGTCACCGCATTTGAACCTCCGTGTCCACAAGGGGATTTGTATTCCTCTTTGGATTTGAACCTAGGACCTCTACGCACTTTTGACCTTTCAAGCCAAGTTCAAACCAATCAAACACCACCATTATGTGGTTCTAAATTTGTGATCTCCAAGTCCCCCTAAATTAAAATTCTTACTACATCTCTAATGTAAGGTGCCACCAAATGC